ATTATTATTATTATTATTATTATTATTATTATGTGCCAGCCAATTGATTTTGATCCCCACCAATCACATTGATAGATTTTTCTCCAGGACAATCTGCCGCTAAACCTTTTCTAGTTTGATATACGAACCTAACTTAAGAATCGTTTGCTAAAATGGGTGGGTGCAGAAATCAAATATATGAATAAAATAAATAAATAATATATGCAAAGTGCACTGCAAATGTCAAGATTTTTTTTTTTGAATTTGCAGAAGTGCAACTCCCATCACCCACAGCCAGCACCATTTTAGAATTATTGGAATGACACACAGAACCAATTTTTAGTGCAATGGATTTAAAAGAGGTTTAATGAAATCGTCAATGAGAGGGGAAAACTCAACAAACTAAAAATCCATGTCTTCTATTAACTGACCACAAAATCTACACAACATTGGGTGTGCCTAAATTACTCCTGGCATCTTGGGAGGTGCCATGTTTTGAGTTATATTTGAAAGAAGATTAGGGTGGAAAGTTAAACACCAAAAGATGTAGTAGTATGTAAGAAAGAAATACAACAGTAGATCTTGATCTTCTCCAAGAGCTGTGACATGGAACCAGGGAAAAAAGGTCTTGGGTCAAGGAGAATTCATTAAATATCTTTATTTTAATTCAAGAAGAAGCCATTGCAAACTATTGACAAGGTTGTTCATCCTTCCTCAAATCCAGTCCCAATTTTCTATCCAGCTCCCTCCTTTCCATTTTTCATACAGTCTAATATAAAAACGTTTTCCTACAGGAGGAGATCCCATGTTTTCCTGGCATATACAGGTAGCCCTCAATTTACAGCAGTTCATTTAATCACCAGTTGAAGTTACAACGGCAGTGAAAAAAGTTGTGACAATTTTTCTCGCTTATGACCGTTGCAGTATCCCTATGGTCATCTGATCAAAATTCAGATGCTTGGCAACTGGTTCATATTTATTTATGAGGGTTGCAGTATCCCGGGGGTGGTGGTGGTGGTGTCATGTAATCCCCTTTTGCGACTGTACTAATTTAACAACTGCAGTAATTAAGTCGAAAAATGGGGCAAAACTCCCTTAGCAAATTTCTCACTTGGTAACATTCAATCTGAACTCAATTGTGATCATAAGTTAAGGACTACCAGTACTGTAACTATGGGTGGTCCTGAATTTATGACTGGATGCTTAGCAACCAATCAAGTTCGGATGGACCTCCACATGACCATTTATGATCCAGATTCAAAGTTCTAACAAGTCACCCCCGATTAACATGATCCCATTTGGGACACTTGGTAACCAGCTGACATTTATGACTGTTTGCAGTATTCCACAGGCCACATGACTACAATTTATATATTTACTAGAGACGAGTTTTTACTTCTGGTTTCCAGCAAGAAAAAAAACCTCACACACATTGCAGACAATGGATTTGCTTTATTACTGCAGCTTTTGTTTTAACGACGGCAGCAAAAAAAGGTTGTAAAGTCAGGTGTGTTTACAGGGTGTCCTGCTTAAAGACCAGGCTGATTTACAACTGTAATTCTGGGCTCAATTACAGTCGTAAGTCAAAGACAGTTTGTACCGCCATTCTAATACGTCATCATCTAAACTTACCAATTCATGCAATTTCCTTTAGGCTACCTTTAATATCTATATAGACATGTGGAAATGGTTTTAAAATTTAATTTTTAGAAAGCAGGAAAACACTGTTACTCGCCTAAAGTGGGACTTGCTTCTCAAAACACAGAGGGTGGAGGAGCCTAGGCAGGAATTGAATTTCAATCAATCAGAATAGAGCTGGAAGGGACCTTGGAGGTCTTCTAGTCCAGCCCCCTGTTCAAGGAGGAGACTCTCTACTGTTTCAGGCAGGTGACTGTCCAGTCTTTTTAAAAATCTCCAGGGATGAAGCAGGGAAGCTGTTCCACTGGTTAATTGTCCTCCCTGTTAGGAAGTTCCTCCTCAATTCCAAATTGCGTTTTTCTTTTATTAGTTTCCATCGTTTCTTGTCCTGCCCTCTGGTACTTTGGAAAATAAATTGACCCTCTCTTCTTTGCGGCAGCCTGGAATAATACTGGAATACCTCAATTTAATTTAATGGAAGGAGTTTTCTAATATTAAGAGCTATTCAGCTCTACAATCCCATTATTATCTTGAGTGGTCCAACCATTTTCCCTAACAGTTGAGAGTGAGCACCTGTACCGCTCCAGACCCTGCTGGATTCTAATCCCCATCATCCTTGATATTCACTGCCTGAGGTGAATGATAGTGAAAATACAGCAACAACTGGAGAGGCCAAGTTTCCCCACTTCAGCTCTCCGGGAAGAATTTGCAAAGGCGGGAAAAGAGAAAACATCCTTGGCGTGAAATTCTTCCACATGGTTTGGCTTCAGATTGAAAACTTTTAATAGCCTTCTTTTGAACATGAACGAGAGATCAGAAGCCGGGGATTGTATTTAAAAAAAGGGGTATAGAAGAGGGGTGTCAAACTCAAGGCCTGTGGGCTGAATGCGGCACGCAGTGTACTTATATCTGGCCTGTGGGGCTGCCCTGGAGACAGTGAAAAACCGCCCCCCCCCCCGGTGTCTCTGCCAGCCAAAAGGGGCTCCTGAGCTCTGTTTTTGGCTGCGACAGCCTCCTGCAACCCTATGTCAGCCAAAATGGAACTCCGGAGGGTTATTGAGCCCCAGCAGAGGGCTGCAGGAGGCCATTGCAGCCTAAAACAGAGCTCAGGAGCTTGTTTTGGCTGGCACACAGGCGCCCCCAACATAAGTGACGTTGATCTGGCCATACCCATCCCAGCCACGCCCACCCTGGCCCCTCAAGGTCAAACACAATCCCGATGTGGCCCTCTACGAAACTGAGTTTGACACCTCTGGTACAGAAGCAGCATCTCAGGGAGACTGCTAATTTAGCTCCCTGACATGCTACTTTTCAGTGAGCATGGAGATTTGGAATTTTTTTATGGAAAAACTCTCCTGCTAGGAACAGTTTTACCACATCTATTATTCCTAACAGCTAAGGCCACTGTTCCCTTGCCACAGGCATTTGGGCCTAGTGAGAACGGATATTCTACTACTGTGTATTGCCCAATACACAGCTTTTCCCTGGGATGAGCTCTTTAATACTTCATCCTGCACTGAACCTTCACAAGATTTATTCCTGAGTGGGTTCAGCAGGCAGGATTGTGAGGTTTCCAGGCGGTAACCTCGTGCAAGGAAGGAAGGAGGAAGCCCCCACACTCTGTGTGTTAATCACCGTTCGCTCCTGCATTGATTCTCTTGGGTTTAAGAAAACCAGGTCCTGAACTGAGGATTCTTCAACAGTCTGAGAGTACAGGCTCAGTCCGTTGTGGGTCCTGCTGTGTCGAACAAGGTGTGACCTGCGGTTGAAACTTTTCCCACAGTCCGTGCAACAGTACGGCTTTTCTCCCGTGTGAATTCTTTTGTGCCGAGTGAAATGAGACTGCCAGTTGAAGCTCTTTCCACATTCGGAACATTTAAACAGTTTGTCCTCCTTCTGGAAAAGCGAGGGGTCGCTGCAATTTTTCTCGCGGTCCACGCAGGAAATTGATTGGCCTCCCGAAAGGGCCACCTGGTGTGGGTTCATGATGCTTTTAAACAACGGGCTACGAGTGTAGCTGGTCTCTCTGTCCAGACATTGAAACAGGGGCTCCTCTGCCTGAGTGCCTTCTTGTGGATTGACTCCAGTGATTAGGAGTGAACAATGGCCGTAACTGGTCTCGCTGTTGGGCCATTCATGCAGCTGGTCACCTACATGGGTGGGCCTGCTGGGGTTCAGCCCCGCAATGAAGATCGAACTGTGGCTGTAGTCTTTTTCACTTTCTGAGCCCGAATACGCCTGTCCCTCTGCGTGGGTCTGCTGGTGGGGACTCAGCCCTGCAATAAAGAGTGAGCTGCTGTCATAGACTCTCCTGATTTGTAGCCCTCCACGTGGCAGGTCAGCTAAGTGGGTTGCTTCGTGAGTGCTGAGGTGTGATTTGCGATTGAAGCACTTCCCGCAGGCCGAGCATTTGTACGGCTTCTCTCCGGTGTGGATCCTTTCGTGCCGCAGGAGTTCAGAGGTCTGGCTGAAACTTTTCCCACAGCCTGAGCAGGAGTAGGGCTTCTCTCCCGTGTGGACCCTTTCATGCCGCATCAGTTTCGCCGCCTGGTTGAAACTTTTCCCGCAGCTCAAACAGTTGTGGGATTTCGCCGCTCGGTGAGCGGTTTCATGCCGGACCAGGTTGGATCGGAGGCTAAAGATTCTCCCGCACTCCCCACATCCATAGAGTTCCTTCTCCGCGTGGGTCCTCTGATGCCGGTTGAGTTTGGATTTCTCGATGAAGCTTTTCTCGCACTTGCCGCACTTATACGGGCGTTCCCCAGTGTGGGTCCGCTTGTGCGTCACCAGATGCGACTTCCAATTGAAGCTTTCCCCACAAATGGGGCAGATGAACGGCGTCTCTCCGGTGTGCAGCCGTTTGTGCGCCAGAAGGGATGAGCTTTGGGTGAAGCATTTCCCGCAGTCCGCGCAGGAGTAAGGTTTCTCCCCCGTGTGGATGTTCTCATGCCGAATGAGGGTTGAGGCATGGCTGAAGCTTTTCCCACAATCCGAGCATTTGTACGGCCTCTCTCCCGTGTGGGTGATCCCATGTCGGATGAGGTCGGACCTGAAGCTGAAGCTCTTTCCGCAGTCAAGACAATTGTAGGGCTTTTGTCCCGAGTGGGTCCTCTGATGACGGTTGCGATTCGACCTTTCGGTGAAGCTTTTCCCGCAGTGGACGCACTTATAGGGCTTCTCGCCCGTGTGGATCCGCTTATGGGCCAGGAGGTTGGACGCCTGAGCGAACGTCTTCCCACATTCATTACAGGTTCTTGGGATCTTGGATCTGCGCCTTGTCTTTCCTGATGCACCCTGGCCCGGAGGCTGGGGGACCTGGGTGTAAGCCGCAGAGCTATCTCTTCTCTTTGCTAAATGGTATTGCCGTTGCCTCTCTGGGTTGAGATGCTTCACTGTTGGCTCTCCTTCCTCAAAAAACAAGGAAACCACTTTGCCCGCCGCGCCCGGGGATGTTCCAGTTTGTTGATTTTGGTTATAGTTTTGCCCTAACACATCTTCCTTCTTCTCATGGATCTGCCCACCACCTGCTAAATAAAAACAAACAAACAATTGGTATAAGAATATAATCTCAGCAGGCTGGAAAAGAAAATCCTTCAAGAGGAGTTAATTTTAGCTAACCTGTTTCTACAAATGTTATATTTCAGGATATGTCCTTGGTCCCCAAGGCATTTACCACGGGGGTTAGATTTCTTAGAACAATCACGCTGATTTTCTAAGATTGGATATTCTAGTTTTTTCACTGAGGGGGTGCTCTCTTGAGGTTGGTGGTTTTTGTTTTTTTGCACATGTGAAAATAGTTACAGACCTCTCACATCCTGGTCATAAATTGTTTCAACTCCTATCCTCAAAACAACGCTATAGAGCACTGCACACCAGAACGACTAGACACAACAGCTTTTTCCCGAATGCCATCACTCTGCTAAACAAATAATTCCCTCAACACTGTCAAACTATTTACTAAGTCTGCATTACTATTACTATTAGTCTTCTCATCGTTCCTCTCACCTATCTCCTCCCACTTATGACTGCAGGACTGTAACTTTGTTGCTTGTAACCTTACGATTTGTATTGTTTCCTAGTATGATTTGATTGCTTATTTGTACCCTATGACTATCATTAAGTGTTGTGCCTTATGATTCTTGACGAATGTACACTGAGAGAATATGCACCAAAGACAAATTTCTTGTGTGTCCAATCACACGGCCACTATTCTATTCTATTTCTATTCCATTCTATTCATTACTAAAACTACGTAACATTAATGTTTTTCATTCCACCTTTTATAGGTATTGCCAGTAGTAACTTTCATCCTGTTTTTCAGTTCCCCCAAAATTTGGCATGTTGGTCCCATAATAGATCTGTCAAAAGTTTAAATAAGGAGCAGATAATGAGCAATTCGGTAGTTCAATGTTTCTCCAGTTCTGCTATGTTAAGATATGTGGACTTCAATTCCCAGAATTCTCCAGCCAGCATGAGCTAGCTGGGGAATTCTGGGAACTGAGGTCCACGCATCTTAAAGTGGCCACGGCTGAAAAAGACTGTTCTAAAGTATTTCTAGTTAGTACCACCTACCATTCTCCTGCATGCCACTTTCGTAGAGACTCCTTTGATTTATATCCGACATCAGGTCTTGATCCTCTGGAAAATACATAGCAACTTCTTTGAAATTCACTGGCATCTGAAAGACAAATCAAGTCCATTCAATCTTTGCACCATGTCTCATGTTAAGATCCACTTGCCTCTAAAAGATTACGGTCATGGTTACAGAAGCATGAAATCTCAGAAGCTGTAGTTGCTTCATAAGTCTTTGAAAAACTTGGGTCTGTTCTCAGGTCTGGCATTCAACTGTATTGTGGACTTTGCAAATCACCAACATTTCTTGAAGAGGAGCAGATGAAAACCAGTGCTTCCCAAACTTTGCCTCCATTCCCCAAAATCTTTTATCAGTCTTATCAAATTTTGAGAATTGTAAGATCCTTCCTTCAGCACCGCCATAACTTTCAATGATGATTGAATGAATGGTCATCACTCAAGGACTAACTGTGTAATAAAAAAGGTATCATTGAATGATCTTTATAGAGCCGAGGTGGCGCAGTGGTTAAGGTGCAGTACTGCAGGGCACTTCAGCTGACTGTGATCTGCAGTTCAGCGGTTCAAATCTCACCGGCTCAAGTCAGCCTTCCATCCTTCCGAGGTGGGTGAAATGAGGACCCAGACTGTGGGGCAAGTTGCTGACTCAATTTGCTAAAAAATCTGTAAACCGCTTAGNTTTAATCGGGCGCGCTTTAGTCGAGCGCAGTTTTGTCGTGCCACGCTTTTCTCCACAACTCAATGTACCTACAGCTCTTACCCATCCTATTTAACAGCCATGGCATGTTGAATTTTATAGTGCTTTTGTCATTGCTGGATATTTTCCTCAGATCTTCTATATTCCTCATTTCATCCTACCCACAGTCTGAACAGGGATTCTCCTTCCTCTGAGTTTCTTTGGATTCACTTTTATCTCTCCTATCCCATTTTGTCATATTTAAGGGTTCATAATCTCTTAAGTAAAGTACTGCCGTCTTTTCTGTAAAGTATTTTTAGCCCAGATTTCAGAGACCACCCAGAAACGCCGACTGTCATTTTTAAGTTATTTTATTCAAGAGGTAATCCCGGCTGGATAATTCTGGGGCTTGAAATCTGGAAGACAATGAGGTAGAAAGCTGAAACGTTGCATGTGGCATTTCTATGATCTACAGCAGGGGTGCCAAACTCATGCCACGGCAGGGTCATGTGACATATTGGGACTTTTCCCCCCTTCGCTAAACCGGGCGGCGGCATGGCCAGTACGTGACGCATCCAGCTCGTAGGTCGGGAGTTTGACAGCCCTGATCTATAGAAATGTAAAAAAAAAAAACCACACAAAATATTTATTGCAGCAATTGCACTGTTTCTTGAAAGCAAATATTTCTTAAAAAAATATTTCTTGAAAAGTAAGTATCTACTGGTAGTAACATCTATTGATAGCCATATACAGTTAGCTAGTCTTAATCAAACTAATATTTTCCAATTGTTTTCTCTCCTCACTCTTATCTAATACTGAGGCATCTTTTGACTAAAGTGAATCAGGAAAGAAATCAAACAGTTAATTTCTCAGCTGCATTTCCAATAGAAGATCAGAAATGAAATTCAAGCCTTCTCTACACGAATCACCTTTTGTCTCGTGTGAATTTTTTTGTGGGCAGTAAGACAAGAATGATGTGTGAAGCACCGTCCACACTCTGGGCATTTAAAAGGTTTCTCCCCCGTGTGTAAACCTACATGATTTATAAGTTTACACCTAGTAGTGAAACCTTTCCCACAATCCGGACACTCATACGGTTTCTCCCCTGTGTGAGTCCTGTGATGTACCACCAGGTGGGAATTCTGACTGAAACTTTTCCCACAATCCGGACATTCATATGGTTTTTCTCCTGTGTGAGTCCTCTTATGTATCATCAGCTCGGAATTTCGACCAAAAGCCTTTCCACATTCCAGGCACTCGTACGGTTTCTCCCCTGTGTGAGTCCGATGGTGTACCACCAAGTAGGAATTCCGACTGAAACTTTTCCCACAATCCAAACACACATATGGTTTCTCTCCTGTGTGAGTCCTCTTATGTATCACCAGGTCAGAATTCTGAATGAAAGCTTTTCCACAATCAAGACATTCGTATGGTTTCTCTCCCGTGTGAGTCCTCTGGTGTATCACCAAGTGGCAATACTGACTGAAACTTTTCCCACAGTCAGGACACTCATATGGTTTTTCTCCTGTGTGAGTCCTTTGGTGTATCACCAGGTGGGAATTCCGAGTGAAACTTTTCCCACAATCTGGACAAAAATACAGCTTCTCTCCTGCGTGAGTCCTCTGGTTTATCAACAGGCTTGAATTACTGCTGTAAGTTTTCTCACAATCCAGACACTCGTACGGCTTGTCTGCCATTTGACTTCTCTTGTGTATCCCTAGAGTAGCGTGCTTGATAAAGCACTTGCCACATTGGGGACACTGGGAGAGATTTTCTCCGGTATGGGTCTTCCCATGCATCATCAACTCTGATCTGCAATCTGTCCTTTCCCCACAATATCCGCATCTGAGGTGCTTTTCCACCAATGATATTCCTGGATTCTGGAGGTCGAAAATATTTTGGATCCCTTCTTCGATGCTGTTTTGAATCAAGCTGCTCTTTCTTTCTTCACAGGGCGAGGTGGCTTGCATGATTATTTGGCCTATGTGGCTAAACAAGGGACTCCTTCCACCCCCACTGATTTCTAGAAGTTTCCCCCTTTTTCTGAATTTAGAAACGACCCACTCTGATCTTTTTTGTGAAGAGTCTGAGGTTCACATACTCGATTATTTCCAGCCCAAAATCCGTCTTCTTGTTATTCTCTCTCATCTGTCATCTGTTGTGGAAGCAGAAAGGTTTTCTGGAGGAAATGGGATGCATTTTGATTGCTGGACAGATTTGCTTTGTTTTTTTTAATGCTGCTTGTGATTCTCATTTGTTCAGAATGGACTCCTTGGCATCTTCTTTGCCTGTAATTCACACGAAAGACTTAGTTTAATGGCTGCATATAAAATGGGTGCACAACCTATGAAAACAATAAAAAACATATTACATTGAAAAAAACCAAACATACCAATCTAATCTCTAACATTGTGATTCATTTGACACATAGAAGACTAAATTCAAATATTCACTCAATCATGAAATTCTCTTTTGGACCTGAGTAAATCACAAACGTTTAGCATTAAAAAATTGTTATGAAATAAACCTGGAAAGGCTGAATATAGTTATAGTTATACAGCAGTGGTGGGTTGCAGATGGTATGCCCCGGTACAGGCATACCAGAGCCAGCCCGGAGCACCAGATACCGTTCCGGTACGGTGCTCTGGAGGGCCCACCCAAGTCCTTACTCGTCTTTTAAGTCTTCTGTGCTTCCGCATACGGCGCATCCGCTGAACAACTGGAGCGTCACGGAGGCTCGTGGAGGCGCCATACCGTTTGGAACAGGATCCGGAACCCACCACTGTTATACAGATATATTCACACAAGGAGAAATGTAGATAAACCTATGAATGTATGTATAGATGCATGTCAAAACTCTATGTGTATTTCAGTCTAATAAATGTCCCAAATGTGAGTACACTGAAACTTTTTGGTCTGATGTGGAGCGGGGGAGAGGGGGCTTTTAATTGATGAAATAGTGCCCAAAGCCTATGAGAGATTTAAAGCCCCAGTTCTATGCATGAAACTCCTCATTTGCCCTGAAAATAACACTGGGGAGACATGATAGCAGTGTTCCAATACCTCTGCCTCTGCTAGCAAAAATGGGGCATGGGCAGGGCACCCCACCCCCGCAACAGCTTTTGGCCTCCGGAGTGGCCCAGGAAGCCTTCCAGGCCCAAAACAGGGCCTCTGGAGTCATCCAGGGCCTCCAGAGTATTGCAGGAAGCCGTCCTTGACTCAGAAAGTTATAAAACGGAGGAAAAGTAAAATATTTTATCTCTCAGGCTTGCAGGATTCTGCTACTAGCCTAATAATTTTTAGTTCTAGTCTTCTTATGGAGTCAGTTTCTTGATCTGGTCTCTCTCTCTCTCATAAGATGATCAAGTAAGTATTAAAAAAACAAAATTACAGAAATGTACGCCTCCCTATTTTTACAAGTTTATAAATCCATGTCTGCGGAGGTGTGGTTCTGTCATGCCCACCCCCACCCGGCCCTCCAAAGTCAAACCCAATCCTGATGTGGCCTTCAATAAAATTGAGTTTGACACCCCTGGTGTAGAGTCTCCTGCTTGAGCAGGGGGTTGGACTAGATGACCTCCAAAGTCCCTTCTGATTCTGTTATTCTCATTCTGTTAAAACACAAAAAAAACCAGAATGCTTCTGAAGCTCAAATATCTTGGTTACCTAATGAGAAGAGAGGACTCGCTGGAAAAGAGCCTGATGTTAGGGAAAGTTCGGAAGGCAGCAGAGAATGAGATGATGAGATAGATAAATGGATGGATGGATGGATGGATGGATGGATGGATGATAGAAATATACAGAAATAGATAGAGTAATAGATGATAGAAAAAAATAGATGATAGAAATAGAAGATAGAAATATATTAGATAGATAGAAATAGAAAATAGATACAAATAGATGATAGAAATAGATGATAGAAATAGATTAGATGATAAGTGATAGANGGTGGCGCAGTGGTTAAGGTGCAGTACTGCAGGGCACTTCAGCTGACTGTGATCTGCAGTTCAGCGGTTCAAATCTCACCGGCTCAAGTCAGCCTTCCATCCTTCCGAGGTGGGTGAAATGAGGACCCAGACTGTGGGGCAAGTTGCTGACTCAATTTGCTAAAAAATCTGTAAACCGCTTAGAGAGGGCTGAAAGCCCTATGAAGTGGTATATAAGTCTAATTAATAAAATAAATAAATAAATAAATGTCATTTCAATAGATTACCACGTTTGGGAAAAGCACCTTGGGGATTACCCCTGGCAATTTCATGGATGTTCATCCTAATAGAAATATTCCGGGAAATTTTTGAATGTTGTTTAATGTCAGGGTTCCAAGTAACACCCACAACGAAAGAAGACTCCAAGGCTTGAGGTTCCTCAAAGTTCCACTTTTATTAGAGATGTCATATTGGCACATCTGGGAAAACCCGAATCTGAAAGCTTCCAGGTTTTCCCCACCCAAAGGAAAGTCCAAGCCCCTGCCCAGCACCCACATATTCATCACATGGTCCAATCAATCAGTCATGCCACTCCAGGTGCAGGGCAAGATGTCCTTCACTCTCTGAGAAAGGAATGTTACTATGACTATATCTATCCCACTCCATATATTCCCCCAGCATTAAATGTGGCAGGTGTGAATGTAAAAGATGGCTTCCATTCACTACACTTTAAGTCAATTTCAATATCCCTATCGTGATGGGGAAATGGTTTGAGTCATTACCCAAGAAAAAAACCACATTTACCTTATTTTGAGTAATTTACTCACATGTGGGAAGCACTGCTAGTCACTAGTGAGCCAGAAGTCAGGAGATTGTGAATTCAGGTCCCGCCTTAGGCATTAAGGCAGGCTGGGTTTGGGCCAACCACTAGGAGACAGTGAATTCTAGTGCCGTGTTTGCCACCTTCAGTTATTTATCAAAATAATAAAGGTGAAATGTGAATAAATAATCATCATCATCATCCCTCACAGAAGTACCCTAGCAACTCCACTGTACATTTTTTCTTCTAATTATTTTAGTGAAATGTAGTCAATTGAAATAACAATACAGTAATCACAATACAATAAAATGTAACTACAGTATAAAGTTATTAAAAGGAATGTAAAAGGAAAACCCCTATGTATTTCTAACAGAGAACGAACACAAACTTTTAATCTATTAAATGTAGCTCACACTGTTGCGTTTTTTCTCATCCCTCTGATTTTTGCTTTTTTCAGAACTCAGTGATGCTCCTTTGTGTACGCAGATGATGTCATTTTGAATGCATAAATATCTGCATTTAGAGCTTGAATGAGCAATGCAACAGTCCTGGTATTTGGGATTAGTGCTATAGATAACAATCTAACAAAATAAACAAAAATAAGAGAAGGAAACCTCCTATTTCAGCAAGGATGACATCCCTGTAGCTACGCTGTAAACATTCCATCTTCCTTCATTTAAAATCTGTGTGCAATTGTGTCAGTTCCCAAAATAGCTATGGAATACAGGCAGTCCTTGACTTACGGCAGTTCACTTAGTGACCGTCTATGGAGATTCTCAGTCATCCAGGTCATAGATGTCCCAAAGGTGCTTTTTTTCAAGCGGCAAGTGGACTTCCTTGTTTTTTTTCTTTGAAGACGTTTCACTTCTTATCCAAGCAGCTTCTTCAGCTCTGACTGAAGGTAGGGCTGAATGAAAAGCGAAACTTCTTCAAAGAAAACAAGAAAGTCCAGTTGCCTCTTGAAAAAGTACTTTTGCGTCATTTAGCGACCGCTCGAAGTTACAACAGCTCTGAAAAAAATGACTTATGACCATTTTTCTTTACATTTACAGCAGTTGCAGCATTCCCGTGGTTACATGATCAAAATTCAGACATTTGGCAACTAGCTCATATTTATGACGATTTCAGTGTCCTGGGGTCACGTGGGATCCCCTTTGGCGACCTTCTGACAAGCAAAGTCAATGAGGGAAACCTGATTCACTTAACAACTATGTTTATAGTGATTCACTTAACAACTGGGAGAATTAAAGTTGTGAAAAGGAGGCAAAATTCATTTCACAACTGTTTTAACAACAGAAATTTTGGTCTTAATTGTGGTTGTAAGTCAAGGGCCACCTGTATTTAGTATTTCACCTGCTCAGAAGTTTACCGAGAAAAAAATCAAACATATGAGGGAGGTTTCTGACCATTTGCCTAAAAATGAGGCCTGGTAACACACTTTGACTGACAAAAATCACACTTCCTTGTACTATAGTCTTTCAAAACTACAAAACAAATCTCACACTCACACTTACGACCATTGTAATACCCCCACTGTTCATGTGTGATCACAATTCAAGCATCTGGCATCAAAGCTTGCATTTATGACTTGCTGCAACCTGCTGCGGTCCAGATATCGCAATTTGCAACTTTCTAGCTATTGTCACCCAACACTGGATTCACTTAATGACCAAATAAGTTGCCTAACCGCAGCGATCCACTTTACAACCATGGTAAAAATAGTCATAAAGTCAGATCCACCAGTCATGGGGTACTCAGCTTACGATCATCTTAAGTTATGATGGAAATTCTGGTTCAGATTTGTCCATGGAGATTCTCAGTTATCCAGGTCACAGTTGCCACAAAAGTGCTTTTTTAAAGAGGCAACTTTAAGAGTTTTTAAAGAGTGCTTTTTTAAAGAGGCAACTAGAAAGCCCAGTTGTTTCTTGAAAAAAAACACCAATCATATTTGGGTCTGGTTCAGATTGTGGTCGTACATTGTTAACACTACCTGCATTTTTTGCATGAGAAAATTAGGCCCATGTTTTTTTTTGGGGTGGGGGGGAGGGAAGTTTCTATAAATAAAAGCAGCTGCCACCAACTGGGGGTCCCTGGATCACTGGTGAGAAAATTTTGGTAGTCTGCAAAAAAATTATTTGCATTTTTTAATTGCACTAAATACTATTTATCATTTTTAAAAATTCATATTAGTGGTCTGCAGGATTTAAAATTATGAATTTAATGGTCTCTGAGGCCTGAAAGGTTGGTGACCCCTGAATAAGAGCAGCCCACAGCAAACCATGCAACTACTACCCTAATTAATTCGGCATCAAAGATTAATCTACCCAACTGGCCAACATCTGGATCATTTATAATGCCGCGTCGTTGCAGACATGCAACCATCCTGGGATTTCACAAGAGGCTGCCAAATTCCAGAACAAAGCTGACACGGGTCTTTGCTATTAAAAAAAAAACTTTAATAAAAGCGAATTTGCGCTTCTGAATCCAAATCCTCAAGAGGGCAAAGGAGGCGGAGAAGGCATTGCAAGCGAAGGAGGGGGCTGATGGGCTATAAAGTCCTGTCCTCGTTTTAGAACCAAGACACCTGCCCAGAGACTACAATGCCCATTCTCCAAAAGGGCTGCAGAGGATAGGGGAGGAAAAAGGAGGAGAAAGCGCCCTGCCAGGGGTGAATATTCGGGGGGTGGGAGGGTTGGCTTTGTTTCCCCTGGCCCAAATCCACGCGGGGAACAGGATCGAATCCCGGGACACAGCAACAACCAAACCCAGAACCAAACCCCGATTCGCCATCGTTCGCCTAGGAACGCGAGCTACTTTTTTTGCAAAATCGGCTTGTTGCATTACAATTTTTAAAATTGGAAGGGGGGGGACTCTCTTATTCCCCCCCCCCATGAAGGCGCAGGGGCTTCGTGCGGAGGACACCCCTCCCCCGCTTCGCTTCCAGGCATTCCAACCTCTTGCAAAGTGACTTTTTTTTAGGGGGGGGGGAAGAGTGGAAAGGTTGAAAGTCCATACCTCGCACGCGGGGATTCGCACTTCGCAGCGCTCCGCCAGGCGATTCGGCGGCAGGAGACGGGCCCGGGCAGGGCTGGGCGAATAAGCAGAGCGGGGGAAGAAGAAGAAGAAAGGGAAGCGGAGGGGGAGGGAATAAAGGAGGGGGAAGCTCTTATTATGATAGGGCGGGCGGGCGCCGCCTCTTCGGCCCCGGGCATGCTCGCGCGCCGCCGCCGAAGCTCGCGCGCTTTTTCTTTGCCCACAGTTGGCCCTTTGGTGTTGTTTTGATCACGTGTTTTCCTCCCCCTCCCCCTCTTCCCGGGTCGTCGTCCCCCCCCCCCAGTGTGTTTGCATTCGCGGGAGGGGAGGGGGAGGGAGAATGAATGGGAAACAAATACATCTTTTAGGATCATTCTTACTACGGATAAATCCTTCGTTGCTTTTACCAAGTGTGTTTTCTTTTAACAGGTTACCCAATGCTTGAATCTCTCTCTCCATCCATCCAGCCATCTATCCATTTCCCCTCTCCCCATCCATCCATCCGTTATCTCTCCACTGAAGGAAGTTAGCACGCACCCCTTTACTAGAAAAATGAAATATCCTAGAAAATATTTTAAAAGGCAGAATATTATATTTCCCTGGATGAGAAATGGACAAACATGTTTTAGGCAGGACTCATTCTTAGTAGCCTCACCACCATCACCATCTTTGTCATTGACCATTAAGGCCTGAGTCAGCCTTTTCTACATAACAAAGATCTACCCCCTTCAGGCAGAGCCATTTCATTCCCCTTCATTGCACCACCAACCAGGTTTTAACCTAACTTGGCACACAGACAACCTACAAAGCTAGCCATGACCTCTGAAGGCAACCAGCCAGCATACTCTTCCTGTGCCACAGGAAGTTCAAAGTCCAGAGAAGACATAAACCCAGGGACTCTCAGCATCTTTTCCCTTTTTTACCCAGGCATGTGATCCTGTCCACCATTAAAGCATCTTTCCAAACAGCCTCCATGTTTCTAGTATCTTTTCCCCCACTTGAAACTCTATCTATCTATCTATCTATCTATCTATCTATCTATCTATCTATCTATCTATTTTAGGAACACCCCCCTCACCAACAGAATGAAATATTTTGGGAAATTTTAAAAAGGCAGGATAGAAAAATTTCCCTAAATGAGGAATGGAAAAAAAAAAAAACTTAAGGGAGACAGAAACCAGCCTCAATCTCTCTTCCGCAAGCAGAAACTGAGGAGGGCAGCTTTTAGAAATGCAGATTTGATAATCCATTCAGAAAGACTGAGCCAATCTATTCACAAACACCTTCAGGAATTAAGATGGGATTAAGAAAGGACAGGACAGGATCTTGACTCCATTAAGAAAAGTGGGAACAATACTGGTCCATTAAGAAAGGCAGGCTAGAGGCAAAATAGATAAGAGGGTAAAATCCATTAGAGATGCCTTACGAGATTAGGACTAAGGAACTATCTCGAGCCATTGCCAAACAAATAAAACCAATGAAATAATAAAAACACACAAAGCAAGATAGCAAACAAATTCAGTAAATAAATTTCCACCGAATTGAGCTTCACCACTGGCAGCTTTCAAGAAGAGACTGAATTGCCATCTGTATTTTTTTGAAAATATGGGTTTTCTGATGGTCTTAGGTGACCCCTGTGAATGTTGAGAACCACTGCCATATATCAAGAGCAGTGGTGAGTTACCACCAGTACGCCCTGGAGAGGGTGTACCGGTGCCTGTCAGGAGCACCAGGTACCGTTCCGGTACGGTGCTCCGGAGTGCCCACCCCCCGGCCCTCCTTACCAGTATGAGATTTTGGGGGTTTCTGCGCTCACGCAGAGCATACAGCAACTGTGTAACGCTCCGCCGAGCAGCTGGAGCATTGCAGGCGGTAAGTACGCATGCACTTGCTGCGTGCGTTCATGTGGAGGATTCCCAGCCCCACTGCACCGTACCAGTTGCACCAGGATCCGGAACCCACCGCTGATCAAGAGTGACTTTTGTCTGGAAGGCAGAACCCAGAACTCAATTCTGAATAATCCAGGTACTAGGCATTTATTCGTGACAATTTCAGTGTCCTTGGGGGTTAATGTGATGTGATCACCATTTTTATCCTTCCCAGCCAGCTTTTGACAAGCAAAGTTAATGGGGCGGAGGTGGGGAAGCAAAAAACTCATAAGATTAGCGGCTCAATTGTGGTCCTAAATCAAGGACTAGCTGAATTTTGATGGCTGACAAGGAACGTTAACTAAAAAACCCTTCTCCCCAACACATGCACGTCATGTGACCACCGTTATTTGACCACCGTTTGACAAATAAAATCAATGGGGTAGCCAGATTCACTTAATAAACCATGGGACAAACTTATCAAACGCAGTGATTCACTTAAAGGCAGGTCATAAAATGAGGCAAACCTCACTTAACAAATGTCTCACTTAACAATAAATTTGGAGCTCTGTTGGTGTCATATGTCGAGGACTAGTTGCATAGTCACTCTGAATTTCCTTTTCTTAATTTCAGCTCATTCTCTTGGTCCATGCTCAACTTGATTCTCCACCCATGCCTTTTAGATATGGATAAGTCCTCGACTTACAACCCTATGTTTAGCAACCATACTTACAATGGCATTGAGGGAAGTCCTCCCGTTTACGACCACTGCAGTATCCTGCAGTTACATGATCAAAATTCAGAAGGCTGGTAACTGGCACACATTTACAAGGGTTGCAATGTCCTGGGGTCATGTGACCACCACTTACCCAGTTGGTTTCCGACAAGCAAAATCATCGGAGAAAGCTGAATTCACTTCACGACTGTGTGACTCGCTTAACAACAGCAGTGATTCGCTTAACAACAATGGCAAAAGGGTTGTAAAATCAGGCACCCCTCATTAACAATCACTTTGCTTAGCAATGGTAATTCTGATCCTAATTGTAGTGTAAGACAAACATTATCTATGTCTGTTGACCAGGGTGTCAAACCAGGGGTGAAATCCGGTTCGGTAGCAATGTGAGAGCGCGCAGAACCTTCCGCGCATGCGCAGAGCGTCAAAAACAGACATGATGACATCTGGGTGGGTAGGCGCAGCCTGCTACCGAGCACCCCTGAAAAGGTAAGCAAATAGCAAGGAGGGGGGGAATCCGTTGTGCCACGCGATTTAGATTAGCTAGAAAGCACGAAATCCTGCTTTCTAGCTAATATAAATCATGTTGCCACAGCTAATCATCAAAAAAACGGGTTCGCCCGAACCAACAGGATTTTTTTTTACTACCAGTTTGGGTGAACCAGTAGCATTTTTACTACCGGTTTGGGCGAACTGGTCTAAACTGGTAGCATTTCACCCCTGTGTCATACTCAAGGCCCAGGGGCCGAATCTAGCACCCCAGGTGCTTACATCTGGCCCACGGGACTGCCCTGGAAACAGCCAAGGACCGCCCCGCGGTGCCTCTGCCCATGAAAACAGAGCTTGGGAGGGCCGCGGCTGGCTGTCCCGAGCTTCATTTTTGCTGGAAGAGGGTTGCAGGATACCGTCACAGCCGAAAACAGAGCTTGGGAGCCCATTTTCACTGGCAGAGTACTCAGGCTATCACAAGTGCTCCCAACACGAGTGATGTCGAACTGGCCATGCCCTCTGTCCCCCCCCCAAGGTCAAACACAACCCTGATGCAGCTCTCAATGAAATCGATTTTGACAGCCCTGCGTAGACTGTTACCATATTTCCCCTTAGTCTTAAGGAAGACTTGCAGCAAGGACATGGGAGTGCAAGAGAGGAGAGGGAAAAAGAAATCTAATTACATATGTGAAACTTCATATACACAAACGCCTTCTAATCTAATTTTGGAAAGCCAGAATGACTCAGTCATCCATTTAAGCCACTGTGGTGCAGTGGTTAGAGTGCAATACTGCAGGCTACTTCTGCTAACTGCCGGCTACCTGCAATTTGGCAGATCAAATCTCAGCAGGCTCAAGGTTGACTCAGCCTTCCATCCTTCCGAGGTGGGTAAAATGAGGACCCGGATTGTTAGGGGCAATAGGCTGACTCTGTAAACTGCTTAGAGAGGGCTATAAAAACACTATGAAGCGGTATATAAGTCTAAGTGCTATTGCTATCTGTCCTTCCACTAGGGACTATTATTTATGATGACATAGAAAACAACACTTAAATGTTTTTAAAAAGTACTTTTTATGGTTATTAATGCAGCTGTTTCTTTTCTAAGTTTAGGTTCATAATTCTTTACAATCCATGTTTTATTTTTCCCATCACACACTCTCGTTTGATTTTCTGGGGAAAGAACAATTTCATACAGTTGACGTATCAATCCCACAATCCTCCACTCTATCCTTAACTGTTATAGACTGTTTTGCACATCCCCTCTCTATGCCATACACTGGCAGATCTCCATGGAGGAATAACATCACAATCACATTCCAGCAGGAGAATCTAATGTGTTTGCAATTCACTCAATATAATGCCTTTAAAACAGGGAATTCTGCGTTGACCTGTGGCCTATGCGTCAATCTCCATGTCACATGATGATGAAAAAGGGATTGGAAGGCAAGGAGAAACATCTCTCTAAGGCTGGGATGGGCAATTATGGGAACAGGTGAAATCCACCTGTGGACTTCAACTCCCAGAATTCTTGAGCCAGCATAAAATGGCTGTCTCAGGGATTCTGGGAGTTGAAGTCCACAGGTCCTAAAGTTGTCATAATTGTCCTCTCTGCTCTAAGGCTACCTAAAACCACAGAAATAGGTGGTTTTATATACCACCTATAGGTATACCAGAAATAGGTATTTCTCAGTGCACAGCTCTATGACTAGCTTACATTTATTCCAACAGCTTCCTTCAAGCAAGTGTACTGTGAAATCAGAAGACCTAGGAGTTCATCCCGGAAACTGGGCCTTGTCCACTAACCCAGGGTTGATGTTTTTTATTGTTTCTCCCCAGCATGGGTCCTCTCGTGTTTATTAAGAATCGTCCTGCGAATGAAGCCTTTCCCGCAATCGGAGCATTTGAAGGGTTTCTCGCCCGTGTGGGTCCTCTCGTGCACAATGAGACTCGAACTCTGGTTGAATCCTTTCCCGCAATCGGAGCATTTGTACGGCTTCTCCTCCGTATGGATCCGCTCGTGCCTGATAAGGCTCGATTTGTCGCTGAAGCTCTTCTCGCAGGATGCGCAGCTGTACGGCTTCTCCCCGGTGTGGATCCGCTCGTGTTTAATCAGGCTGGACCTGTCACTGAAGCTTTTCCCGCAATCGGAGCACTTGTAAGGTTTCTCCCCCGTGTGCGTCCTCTCGTGGTTCGTCAGGTTGGACTTCCGGTTGAAGCTTTTTCCGCAGAATGAGCAATCGTAGGGCTTCTCCCCCGTGTGCGTCCCCTCGTGCCTGATCAAGTGCGACCGGCTGCTGAAGCTTTTCCCGCAGTCCGAGCACTTGAACGGCTTCACCCCCGTATGGATCCTTTCGTGAGTCAAAAGGTGAGATCGCCGCACGAAGCTTTTCCCGCAGCTGGAACACTTGTACGGTTTGTCCCCTCGGTGGGCTCGCTCGTGTTTGTTAAGGCTCGACTTGTCGCTGAAAGGTCTCCGGCAGTGCGAGCAACTGTACGGTTTTTCCCCCGTGTGGATTCTCCGGTGTATGACGAGGCTTGAATTCTGATTGAAGCCTTTCCCACAGTCCAGACACTTGAAGGGCTTCAAACCGGTGTGTTTCATCTCGTGAATCAGAAGGTTAGATTTCTGGACGAAGCCTTTCCCGCAAGTTGTGCAGCTGTAAGGTTTCTCTCCCCGGTGGATCCTCTCGTGAGCCAGGAGACTGGAGCTCTGAATAAATCTCTTCTCGCAGCCCGAGCATTTGTACAGTCTCTGTTCTCGGTGGATCCTTTCGTGCCGCACGAGGGTGGAGCTCTGGTTGAACCTTTTCCCACATTCCAAGCATTTGTAGGGCCTATGCTCCGTGTGACTCCGCTCGTGCCTGATGAGGCTGGAGCTCTGGTTGAACCGCTTTCCACATGCTGAGCAGCTGTACGGCTTCTCCCCGGTGTGCTTCCGCTTGTGCCTGATGAGACTGGAACCATCGCTGAAGCTGTTGCCGCATTCAGAGCAACGGAATGGCTTCTCCCCCGTGTGGATTCTCTCGTGGGTACGAAGGTTGGACCGCTTCATGAAGCTTTTGGTGCAGCACGAGCACTTGTGGGGCTTCTCCGCCGTGTTTTGGTTCTCTTGTTTGACACGGTCGGCTTTGTCAGGGAAACGTATCACACAGCCAGAGTAAAATGGTATTTCTCTCTGCAACATTTTGTCATGGACACCTATTGGGATAAACAAATAAATGTTCATTTTTAATCAAGCCAGGATTAGGTTTTCAGCAGGGACATCTACCGGGGAGTGGGGAAAGGAGAATCAAAATGTTTGGGGGAGTTGTGACAGGATTTTGATCTTTTGATTGTCCTCGGACATCTTTTGGAGGACCACCTCAGTCTATATCTGGAGTAATTTTATGGAAAGAAGATTGTTATGATCTCCCCAGGAGGTGCCCCAGTTTACGTAGATTGTGTTAAGCCATAATGTAGTTTGTGGCCCAGACCGTCTTTCTCCAGCCTGGCATCTCAGATCCTCTAAAAGCAGAAGGAACATGGAACCTGCTAGATCTCGCTCTCTCCCCCCCCTCTCTCCCTCCTTCTCTCTCTCTCCCTCCCTCCCTCCTTCTCTTCCTCCCTCCCTCCCTCTCTCTCTCTCTCTCACACACACACAGACTTTGCGCCATGTTATTGTATCCAGGTTGAGAATCTCTGCTCAGAAGCAACATCTTGCTTAATGCATGCTGGAAAGAGATTAAGTAGGAAAGCAAGTGGATTGAGAGGGGACATGACATTTCTTCTTTATTTGTTTAACCTACCTTTATTATTTTTATCAATAATTCAAGGCAGCAAAGATACCCAATACTCCTTCCTCTTCCTCTTTTCCTCACAATAACAATAACCCTGGAGGTAGATTGGGCTCAGAGAGGGTGGCTGACCAGGATTGGGATTCAAAGATTTTAGCAACCGGTTCTCTGCCCGGTTGCTGCGTGGGTGTGGCCATGGTGGGCGTGGCCTACTCGGCCTCCTGAACCATGGGGGAGGGGGGAGGGGAGTCTTTTTCTTGAGCCTCTGGGAGGGCGAAAACAGCCTCCCCTGGGCTCTGGAGGCCAGAAACAGGCCCATTTCCAGACTTCTGGGAGGCCTGTTATTCACCCTCCCCAGGCTCCGGAGGGTTTCCTTGAGGCTCCAGGAGGGTGAAAGCGGCTCCCTCGGGGTCTGGAACTTCCAGGAGGCCTGTTTTTTGGCCTCCCAGAGCCTGAGTGGAGACTCCTGGGAGGGATGGGGTGGCCAGGGCAAGCTAGCCCTTGCAACTACCGGTTCTGCGAACCAGATGTAAAATTAGCATCCAGTTCGCCTGAACCGGTGCCAACCAGTTGAATCCCACCCCCGTGTCTGACCCAAAGTTACCCAGTCAGCTTTCATGCCTAAGAAGAGACTAGAACTCACTTTATTTCCTGGTGATTAATCCAAAGTCATCCAAATAGCTTTCATTCCTATGATAGGACTAAAATTCACTACCACCTGATTTCTAGCCTGCAACACTAGACCAAACTGGCTCTTAGAAGGAATTTGCCGTAACAGACCTTTCTTCTTAGTGATAAAACTTAATGGGGCAAATTAATCACACTTACCTGATTGGACTGTTTTGAACGTCACACTTGTTTCTGAAACCTGGGGGCAGGGAACATACGGGATTTCTTCCTGTTCCAGCTTTATTATTACATCTGGAAGCTCTGACCAGAAGAAATGAGATACGACAGAAATGCTATTTTGATAACTGGCAGCAGAAGATATGTACAATTTTCTGGGCAAATCCCAGAACTTTATGCAGTAATTCAGAACAACTGTTTTCAAACCTGGCATTTTCCAGGTGTATTGGGACTTCAACTCCCAGAATTCCCTTTGCCCTGATGCCTTGGAATGCTGGGAACTGCAGTGCCCACAGTTCTGGAGGACAATAAGCTGCCTTAGAGCAAGACTGTGAATACCAGCAACCTTCCCCTCCCCCAATACACAGTAATTTCAGAATGGACACATTTCATCAAGCACAAAATTAAGGGCATGTATGAAAGGAAGGAAGGGTGATTTTGTCTTAATGTACTTCAAAATACAATTGTGACATTTCTCCAATTGTTTCATCTTCAAATCAAGATGATCCAGTGGCTGGATTAAAAACTGATCTTGGTTTCCCAAACTCTAGATCAGGGGTAGTCAAACTTTTTATACCTACTGCCGACTTTTGTATCTCTGTTAGTAATAAAATTTTCTAACCGCCCACCGGTTCCANAGGAATGTTGTCCATGGGGTCGTGATGGGTCGGACATGACTTCGCAAATAAAAACAAGAAAAAACATTTTTTCTGCAGGTGCTGGGTCCAGTTTTTCCAGATCAACTGAAAGTTGATTCACTGGTTGCAACAGGAAGCGCCTGACCAACTTGCATCCGAGCCTTACATCATGGATTGAGGAATAGTGACTGTCGGATTGATCAAGCCGGTTTCATGTCTAAGGCTCACACTCTCCTGGTTTCTAGGCCAGAGTTTTAGCCCTCAGGCCAATTTTGCATTTGTTCTCTACCATCAGTAGTTAATACCCAAAGTACAGGTAGTCCTCAACGCACAGTAGTTTATTTTGTGGCCGTTGAAAGTTACAACGGCACTGAAAAATGTGATTTATGACCATTTTTCACAGTTACGACCTTTGCAGCATCCCCATGATTAGGATCAAAATTGGGACGCTTGGCAACTGGTTCATATTTATGACAGTTGTTCTGTCCCAGGATCATGCGATCACCTTTTGCGACCTACTGACCAGCAAAGCCAATGGGGAACCCAGATTCACTTAAAAATTGGGTTACTAACTTATCAACTGCAGTGATTCAGTTAACAGCTGTGGCAAGGAAGGTCGTAAAACTGGGGCAAAACTCACTGAACAAATGTCTCACTTAACAACATGAATTTGGGGCTCAATTGTCAATTGTCCTTGTCATAAGTCGAAGACTACCTGTAATTGGTAGAAGGCAATATCTGTAGCTGGGGATTGAAGGGATGGTTTCTTGGTTTCTGAGCTTGGTTATTTTCCTGCTGATGTTTTGTTATCCAGGTAGGTAACAGCATCATATTTGCAAGGTGAGTGGGCTTCGCAACTCTTTATCTTTATCTAGTAGCCTCTCCTGTCAGTCTTGAGGCAGGGCAAAAAGAAGCTACACCCCCATCAAGGCTGGCAGGAGAAACTATGATTACACAGCCAGCAAATCTCCTTCTCCCTCGCACTGCTAATGTTATCTAGCCAGGTGACGAAACATCTACAAGAAAACAAGTTCTGAGAGCAGCAAGAAGCAGCCCTTAGGTATGTCAGTACTTAGCACTGTAATCTTAGTGCCAAGTGAGAATAAAAATTGCAAAATTGCCCATACCCTCATTGCTTGTTTATACAAGCAATGAGTGTAGGAGCAACTTTGCAATGTTTATTGCAAGCAAAGAATCAAAATGACGTAAGTATTCGTGCCGCTTTATAAAAGGTTGGTAACATACAGTATCTGGAATACAGCACCCAGTTTCAGTAACTATATTACAAAAAAAATAATGTTGAGGCTTTGGGAAAAGTGCAAAGAGCAACTAGGATGATTAAAGACCTGGAGGCTAAAACATACAAAGAACGGATATGGCTAGTCTAGACACTAGGAGTGACATGATAGCAATATTCCAGTATTTGAGGGGCTGCCACAAAGAAGAGGGGATCGACTTATTTTCCAAAGCGCCAGAAGGCAAGGCAAGACACAATGGATGCAAACTAATCAATCAGAGAAGCAACCTGGAATTAAGGTGACATTTCCTAACAGTGAGGACAATCAACCAATGGAACAGCTTGATTTCTATGGGGATTATCTCAGTCATCCAGATCATGGTTATCCCAAATGGTGCTTTTCCAAGAGGCAACTGGATCTGGTTTTTCTTCTCATCCAAGAAGCTTCTTCAACTCTGGGCTGGGTGAGAAACGAAACGTCTTCAAAGGAAAACAAGAAAGTCCAGTTGCCTCTTGAAAAAGCATCTTTGAGTCAGTAGAACAGCTGAGCTTCAGATGTTGTGGGTGCTTCATCGCTGGATGTTTTTAAGGAGAGACTGGACAGCTACTTGTCTCAAATGGTACAGGGTCTCTTGCTTGAGCAGGGGGCTGGACTAGAAGATCTCCAAGGTCCCTTTCCAAC